TTTCTTAGGTTGCTTTAGCATCTTCCCGATCATCAACTCGAATGAATTCTTCTCATAGTCATTATTATTTATATAAATAACAATATTCTAAATTACATAGTTCGTTTCGTTTCGTTTTGTTCCGTTTTTTTTTTTGTTTTGCAAATAAAACTAAATTCATTATTAGGCGATCTGACCATCATCGCTCTTTTTCTCTCGTGCATATACAAACAACCAACAACATATATTAAAGATAATTATCAGATAAAAAGAAACAAAAAGAAGAAAAAAATAATAATTACGTATATATGACACAAAAGAAAAAAAAAACTATTTATCATATCTCTGTACACCGGTTCTTATTTTCCACCACTTAATTGTTCTTTTTCAAGAATATTTAGACGATCTTTTATTTCAATATATTCTTGATTATATATTGAATTTAATGTTAAATCTTCTTTTTCAAGTTCAATTAAACGTTTTTTTAAACGTTCTATTTCATTAGTCATTATTGGATTATTATAACTCCGCATCTCACTATTATTTAATGATATTGTTCTTGCAACATGTGATACATCTGGTTTTCTTGTATCTGTTGTCATTGACCATGATACTGAATGATTTATTGCTCGTTGTCGATGAGAATTTAATGATGACGTTACACTAATGGATGATGCAAGTGGCGCAGCAGTTAATAAAGATTTTGATGAAGTCGAAAGTTGCTGTTGTTGTTGTTGATTAGAAAATGAATTTGATGGAATGAATGAGGATGTCATTGTTGGCACATCGGTTTCTCTAACGGATGGTAGTCGATAAATTCCACTACCAGCTCGACGTATAGGAGCATGAAATGGAAGACGACAACTTGCTTCAACAAGACCAGGTGCACTTTTACTTCGTTTTAAATTAACTAAAAAAAAATAATAGAACAAAATTCTTATAAAGATGTTCTTTTGGTTTCTTTTTGTTCTTATTTACTTTGTTGAATTAGAGGTTTTTTATGTTTTTCAAGACGTTTAACAGCTATTGCTTCAAGTTTAACACGTACAGCTGGATATTCTTTTAATACTTCCCAAAGATCTAAATAAAATCTTCAATAAAAAAAAATTTTTTTTTTCTTTTTTTTAAACTACCTTCTTTCGAAAGACAAAATAAATCTGAATAACCAACTGATCGAACAGATGCTGTTCGACGATTTCCACTACCCATATTTAAAATACTAATTTCTCCAAAATATGAACCTAAACAAAAAGCAAAATAATCTTTCTTTTAATTTAATTCTTTTTTTCTTTTCTAATACCAGCTTTTAATGTTGCTAGAACAGTCTTATTATTATCTGCCATAACATGTAATTTTCCACGATTAACAATATACATTTCTCTTCCTACTTCACCTTTTCGACAAATAAAGTCTCCCGGTGAAAAAAGAACTGGTTTAAGACGTAAAACAAGTTCATTTAGAAAACCAGCTTCAGTATTTTGAAATATTTCAACCTGAATAAAAATCAATATGAATTTTTTTTTTTTGATTTTTTTTTAAAATTTACTCGTTTTAATGTATCCAAATGAACATGTATTGCTATTTCAGCACGAAGTTTATATGGTAATAATGACAGAACTTGATTATCATCAACTGATTTATGACTCATCCATAAGTAATCAAACCTAACAATATAGAAAATATTAAAAAGAAAAACAAAACAAAAAAACGTATTCTCATTGTGAAATCTGGAACATCATGACCTTCTATTTTTAAAATGAGCTGTAAGTAATTATTAATTTTTCTAAATTGCTAGTCGAGAATATGTCATAAAAGAAATGTAGTTTTAGTGATTAAAGATTCTAATATGAATACGTTTGTATTTTTACAATTGAATATTCTCAATGCTTCTATTAATATCTGAAATGTTTTCATGAAAAATTTAACAACTTCAAAAATTTTTGTTTTCAAGATTTTTTTTTTTAATATAAAATTCATTATTAATCTGATCATCAAATGGAAGGAATTAGACTGAAAATAGTTGTCTGTCTGAGATTGAAGGCTAACTCTTTAGAATTACAGTTCTCTTTGAGTTTATTTATAATGTACTATATAATATTATCAATAGATAAACTCAATAAACTGAAAAAATAAATTCTTTTTGATTTCATTTCATTGCTATGCTTTTCTTTTAACTCAATCTCTCTCTCTATATATATATATGAATAAACTAACCATCGAATAACACGATCTTCTAAATTATTTGGTACACGTCGTAATGACATATATGTTTTTACTGCGTCCAATTTTGCTTTAAATAAAGAAAAACAAATATATGATATAAAAACTTCAAAAAAATTTTTTTTTTTGTTTTTTGTTACCTTGAAAATCTTTTCTAGCATTACTTAAATTCGAAACAATTGATGCAACATGTCCCATAATAGTAGCAAATAATAATAAAGCAAATATAAGTTCAATACTTAAAAATATATAATCTTCTTTTGATGTTGGTTTAGTTTCAGGATTTTGTGTTAATATTAATGTTGTTATTGACCAATATCTATTTAAAAAGAAAAATTAAAATAATTTTATAAATTTTTTAACTTACAAAGCTTTAAAATAATCTAAACCATTATCATCAAGGGTAAATGAAAAACGTCTTGTAAATGTTAATTCTGAACTTTTATGTAATATATAAATAAAACATGCATTCCAATGAAATATAGCAAGTAAATAATGTATCATAACAAATGTACGAAATAAATTTGGATAATTTGTATGTCGTTCAGTACGATCCAAAAAAGTCCAAAAACGATAAATTTTAACTAAACGAAATAATCGAACAATTGATTTAAAACCAATTGATAAATAAAGAAAATCTAATGGCATTAAACAAAGACAATCAATATAAAATCTTGTTGTATTCATATAATAATGGCGTAATTTAATTGGATCTGTTTGTAGAACACCTTCTTCTAAATAAGCTGTACGAAAATTAAACATAATATCCATTAAATAAAGAAAATCACATGAATAATCAAATATAAACCATATAAGAAAATTTTGATGTGTTAATTCATGAAAAGAAAAACGAAAAATAATTATCCAAAAATTATAAAGAAATGCAAGACTTATTATTGATGTCCACCAATATGCTAAACGACCACTTGGATCAAATATAAATGTAAAACGACGTGATGAATGTATACGTCGAGTTGTTGGAGAATTAATATCAAATTTTTCAAAACGTGCTTTTATATCTTGTCGACGTGCTTTACGTAATTGTCGTGATTGTCGAATAAAATCACCTTGATAAGTCGAAAATAAATTATCATTATCGGTTGATACACGTTGGTGTGCTAAAGCTGATGCTGATGTTGAAGTTTTTCGTACATTTCTTGTTAATTTTGTTGTAAATGTATCCAATACTGATTGTCTTGATGTTGATTGACGAATATTCGATGGAGTAATAACATCACGAATAGATGAACTTGTTGATGACTGATGTGATCGTTGTTGTTGTTGTTGTTGTTGTTGTGATGGTCGATTAGTTTGTTTTGTAAAGGATTGAATTGATGGTGAACAATCAAGTGGATGTTTTGAAGAAGAAGATAATGGTTGAGTTGGTATTTTGACAATGGTTGATGTAGTTGACGGAGATTTTTTAGGAACACTTGATGTTAATGGAATCAAATGTGTTAATGATGATGTATGATGATTGGGAGAAGATAATGATGATGAGATCTTTTTATTTGTCGGTGGTGAAATTGTAATTTCACATAGATCATCATCAATAATTGATGAATGCCCTTGTTCAGATGGTTTCGTTGATGAAAGACGCGAAATGTCATTGTCAGTGGTTGAATTGCATACTTGATAGCGTATAGACGATTTGAACGATGACGCTTGAGCCATGCCATCACGAGCGTAATGCCCAATATTGGGGCGGCTGTAACTCACGGATCTCTAATAAGAAAAGAAGAAGAAAAAAAAAGGAACAGAAAAAAGAACAAGACATTTTGTCATTATAGTTCTGTTTTTCTTCTAATATTAAGGACAAGAATTGCATGTTAACTAAAAGATCATTATCAAAAAAACAAAAAAAAATCAAATAGTACCTTATTTCTATCTTTATCAAAACGAAATGAATAGTTAATAGTCAAACAAAGTATATAAATTAGTATTTTTTTTTT